AAACTAAACAGAAATGGGACACAATGCCCTGGAACTAATAGAACACGATAGAACAATTATATTTATTTGTAACAATATTCAAAGGTGCGAAGTAATAATAATAATATGATCATTCGGGATTTTGACTCTTCGTGATTATGGTCATAGGATGACCCTTCGTGATTTTAATCTTCGTGATTTCGTACCCAAATATTTTTTATTGCACGTTTTGCAAATTGTTAATCAATAAAAAAAAAGCATAACTACTTACTACTCCCATTTGATTTTAATTTGCAAAATTATAGGCTAAATGGTCGTCTGTGCGTTTGAGTCGATATTTTGGTGGTGTGCTATTAAAATTGAGGTACGGATCATATGATTTACTATGTCTCATACCTCAATTTTAATAGCATACCACCCATTTTATTTGCCGGAGCACTGTAAAAATCTGTATTGTAAAATAAAATGATTTTTTTGCTCCAGACTAGTAGTACCAGTCGTGACAAATTCTGGAGTCGACTCAGTCAGCCGTTAGAGACCTTTCAGTCGACTCAGCCGTCGACTGAGTCGAGACTCTCATTTGAAATTAGCGACGATAATTGTATTATTAATATTCAAAAATTTTTAAAATTTAATTAATGTTGCAAAAAGATAGATAATTATAAGTTTCATCATAAATAATGTTGACAAGAATCCCATTTGACTAAAAATTTGAAGTTTTATTTAATTAAAAATTTCACAATATTCTGACCTTATATCAAATTTGAGACAGCGACTCAGTCATGTCATTGAAAATTCCGAAGTCGACTCTAAATAATTTTTGCAGAGTCGACTCAGCCGTCGACTCTGACTCCAACGGCTGGTACTACTACTCCGGACTAACCAACGGTTTCCGTTCCCTAGTAATAAAAAATACTATTTGGGCGAACAATAGTCCGTTTGACCAACAATGGATTTACAAATATTTTTATCCTCTATCTTTAATTTTTTCCTAATTAAGTCAAAATTATATTGAATTTTAGGTGATGACGAATCGAATTTTATGACATTACAATCCAGATCCAAATGTGAAATATTTTGTGCACATGATTATTTTATGTTGCAGCCTGGCTTCCAATAAGAAAAATAGTGACAAAATAAACTACCAAACATTTCACCAGAAATATTTCAAATTATTTTAAAGTAAGTTATATAATTTAAAGTGATGATGCTATTTTTTTACGTTGTTCATTTATAAGGTCCTTAAATTTTTATAATATTATAGATACTTTTTACAATATAGATACATTATGGTGGGAACAAAACATATCAAATACCTTGAAAATGTTGGCAGCAGCTGCTGAACTACTTCTTCAAGAACTAGTCAAAGATGAATGGTATGAACAGCATTTGAACTTACTTATAGAACAAGTTTCAATTTAATTCTTTGTTAAAACTTCAAACATTCTGTACATATTTTATTTCTAAATCGCCCGAAAAAGTATTCAAATCACTTGATTTTTCATTCTGAAAAGTCATTAATTTCACTTATAAAAGAGATTTACAGATGAAAAAAGCTGAAGTTTGGGAACATGTAATAAAATGGAGTCTTGAGAAAAATCCTACACTCGTTCAAGATCCTTTAACTCGGTGATAATTTCACAAATTAATGGAAATTACTTTGCAACATTGTTCACCCTTGTTAGGTTTTTAGCTTATCTTTTAACGAGTTCGCCCAAAATGTCCATATAAAAGACTTTTAAAACCCAACTTTATGAGAATTTAATAAATTTTTATTTGGTTTCTAATTGTGAACCAAGAGATAGTATTTTAGAATAATTGATACAACTGTAAACATTGTTTCGATAATTTCAAGATGGATTGATAATAATGATATTTAAAGCAAGTTCGTTCATTTAAGAGAACTATATTTACCACATAATTTTAATTTATTATTAAGAGGAAGTAGAGAATTAAGTGACAATATATATTGTACTGTTACATTCATTAAAGTAAATGGAGCGGAATAAATCCTTTAATTTGGAAGGGATCTGATAGTGATGAATTTGGACAAAACAAAGATAGTTTTACTTTCTCTTTTAAGAATAAGGAAAATGTTAAAGATTCAATTTTAAGCAAGGTAAATAATATGAATCGTGCAATATTATATGGCGGCACTATGAATGGTCCCTCATTTGTAAGGTCTCACTGCATCAGAAAAAAGTTCTTGTAATCTAGCAGAGGATAAGAGATACAGATGAAATATTTCCAATAGAAGATTATTAAGTATTTCAAATTTTGAATAATGAGATGAGACTTAATATTTCGTTAATCGTGTTTAATATTCATTATTTAATTTTATTAAATTTTATGTTAAAACCGAATTAAATATGGATTTTTTCCTAAACCTAAAAATTTTGTTTTATTGAAAAATTAAATTAACCATTTCCTTATACAATTTGATGGTTAAATAATATATAGTATAAAGTTTATATATAATACTTAAATAATAATTCTGTTATTTTATTATAATTATCACAACTTGTTTAAATAGTAAAAGAATTATCATATATTTACTTTTTATTCTAACTATTCTAACTAGAATTATTTTAAACATTTGTTACATGATCATAACAAAAACATCTTGTAAGGGTAGATTACTTTTATAATTACTAATTCTTAATTCTGTAGATTCTGTGCCTTATTGATAGCACGAAGTTATTCTGACTTTTTTAAAGTTTTTTTTTTTTGTTGTAATAATTTCCTTAGAAAATTAACGACGTTTCAGTTTTACTACCACAGTTAGGTAACATTAAATTGAATAATGGAATAGAATAAGGAATGAAAATAGTTGTTATTTGTTGAACTAAAATGTATTTGGTAAAAGTTTCATGAACTTTAACACATGATGAACAATATTGCATTATTTTTCAATTTATTGAACCAATTTCAAGGAATTGATTTTGATAGATCCTTTATTCAATATACTAAAAGTAAAAGAATCACTTCACCTCACCTTACATATTTTACGAAAATTAGTATAACGACCCAAAGTACTCTACAATATGATCGCATTTGATGCCATTTTTAACTAATTCGTCAATCGTTAAATTAAATAATTTAATAGTTATTTGATTCTGGTAACAACTTCCCATAATTAATAACTTTTCTTTCTTTTAAAATTAAAGCCTTTCAATCTTCAATCTTAATATATAAGAATGTCATAATTAAATTCAGTTATTTCCATTATATTGTTTTGTGATTTATTAGTATTGGTGTTGATAAATCTGACTTTAGTACCTTGTAATTTTGCATGGTTGGGGAATAAGGCTCAATTATCTGAGGAAAATTTCATGAAAAAACGACAGTCAAATCATGTATGAAGAAAGGTGATGCAGAATTCAGACTAATAGGTTGCCAATTAGTTGTCGTTTTAGGAAAATCGCGTATTTGTAATATGTCGCAACATGCTAAATAAAGTAAATTTATACTAATCATACTAATTTATTTCATTTAAGCATCAATATCAAAAAAATATTTTTCGTTCACACGTTTTAGAACATGCCTTATTAGTAATAACAATGGTGTAATATCTTTGATCGTGGTGATCGTGGTGGAAGATCATTCTAATCCAAATCAATTTAATCGAATTTATCATACTAATTCTTGATGAAATTTAATTTTCGTTCCCACCTTTTTGTTAAAACTTTTCTTCATTCGGTTAATTAATAATATGGAAATTCGCTATGAAATTAATATAAAAGGTTCCTTTTTTTAAAAAATTTAATAGATAAATAATTAAGACAATTTTTTAAAAAGGAATGCAGATCATTTACAATATTCTATTTTCAGTTTTTATTTTCAGTTTATTTGTTTCTTATAATCGAACGTTATGCGTTACATACAAGTATTCTCGAGAATATCTTATCAACAACCATCTTTTTTTTCTCGAACCACCTCAAACTGCCTTTTCTACTAACATTAAACCCATAAGTTACCCTGATAAATGTGATTTAAAACAATTACATTTAGTTACTAGACATGGTGAATATTGCTTTACAAAGTGTTCAAATTCAACAAAAAAATAATTTTTTTTTTGAATTTAATTATTAGGATCAAGATATACTGATAAGGCTGAAATGTCAGCTTCCGAAGAATTAGAAAAAGTATTTGCTAACGTTTCTGTTGCAAAGGAATGGGTAATAAAAAAAAAATCTCCAAATTAAAATTATTTGTCATGTTTATCAAAGAGAGTTTTATTATTTATTTCACGAATACTTCTTTTTTAGTATAAAAGTCCCTTCACTAGTAGTAAAGAACTTCAATTGACCAAGCGAGGAGAAATCGAAGCTTATTTTGATGGTTTACGATGTCGTAAAAGATACGCAAAATTTTGGGACGGGGTTAAATATGATCCCGAAGTTATAAAATTTCAAAGTACTCAAAATTCAAGGTATACAGTAATTCACAAAATAATTTTTAAATTTTCACTCATTTGGTTCTTTCAAAGTTATCTTTTATTTTAAGAAATGGTGCATCGTTGATGGCCTTTTCTGAAGGATTATTTAATGGCAAGGGGCATTTAGACATTTGCAAAAGCCAACCAATATACTATTCGACCACACCATTGGTAAAAAAAAAAAAATGTTTATTGAGTCATGTATACTCGTTCAAATGCTTTTAATTCATGGTATAATTTTTTTGTAGTTCCAAGATTATGAGTTATACATGTTTTCCTCCTGTCGACGTTGGAACGAGACTGTTCGTAATAATAAATTGCGAGATGAACAAATCTATGCTTATGGTAACAAGACTCTAGCACCAATTGCCAAGCGACTTTCCGAACGATACGATATTAACCCACCACTTGAACCACGCCTAATGCCACACATTTTTAATAATTGCCATTTTTGGCTCACTGTGTTTAATCGAACTGACACATGGTGTTCATTATTAAGTCCCAAAGAACTTATATTAACGCGATATTATTGGGATCTGAACAATTATTATCTATATTTATATGGTCATCCTTTAAACACAAGACTCGGCTGCAGATACCTTACTCAACTTGTAAATGAAGTTGAAGGTTATTTGAATGGGAATTCTAGTATGAAAGCCGATCTAAGGAATGCTCACGGTTTTACTTTGTCGATATTGTTTGCTACAATGGTATTAAAAATTTCATTTCCATTTCCATTGTCATTTTCTCATTATTTTTATGATAACATGATATTTATAATTACAGGGAGTATTTAAAAACGAATACCCTCTCACAGGAAATCTTACCTATGAACAAATTAAAAATATCAAATTTACAAGCCATAGACTTATACACTGGTCATCTACGCTTTATTACGAAATTTATACTTGTTCCAAAGATCGCGTATTTATACGAGTAGTATTTAATTTCAAACCATTTTTGATTCCGGGTTGTGAGAGTGAATATTGTGAGTGGAATAAATTTAAAGAAATTCTTGGTGATAAGATTGGGTGCGATATTGAAAAGATGTGTGAATATCCTTGATCAAATAAATTTGATTTGAAAACACAATTAACTTTTTTTTCCTATGTTTCAAACATCTCCAATAATTCGTTAAATAAAATTATTTTATACAAAAATATTTCAATGTTTCTGATCAATTTTTGATTGTAAATTTGTGTATTTCAAAAGGTTGATAAATTGCAAAAAAATATTTTCACATCAGTTTCAAATTTGGGATTACACATTTACAAATACGATATATTACGCTTTATAAGAAGAAGATTACGTTATTCTTACTATTAATGCAATGTGGTGTTCTCATTCAATGTTGTTGAATAACTATTATGGGAGGATTTTTAAAACTATTGGAGTAGTTTCCGAAATATTTAATAATTCTTGAATCAAAGTTAGCACCTCCTAAGTAAGTATCATATCACCATTGGTTGCTTTCACTTCAAAAACTCTTTTATCGATTTCAATTTGAGAGACTTAAAAGAACCTCATAATAAAATAAAAGAAAAAAAATTATTGATACAGCTTGTCGCGACGAACTGTATGTCATTAAGATTGAAAAATAATAAATTATAATAAATAAATATATTCTGATTAACGTTAAGGAATCGGTCCGTCAAAAAGTCGGCCATGATCGTCAAGTTGATTGATGACCGTCCCTAGTATAATTTCGTCTAGCCTGTCTTGTGAATGACGCATTTATGACAAAGTTTAATTTTTTAAAGCTTAAATTTTGATGATTTATCCAAGTTGCATTAAATTTTTTCCCAAGCTTTTTAATTAATCAGTTTTTCATATATATTAAAAAGAAAAAAAAATGCAAAGCGTCAATAATAATAATTCAAACGAGTCGATTAATTGGATTAAAGAGGCAATTTCTAAAAACCATATTAAATATTATGAATATAACGATTTTAGCAACTTTCAAGAAATCGGTTGTGGAGGTTTCGGTAGAGTCCATCGTGCGAATTGGAAAAATTCTCATAAACATTTTGCGTTGAAATCCTTTCATAGCCCTAATCTCAACAACACCGCATTTAAAAAGATCGTTCATGAAGTAATTATTTAAATATAATTTATGTATTTTTAATAATCTCGCAAATATTGCATTTTAAGCTAAAAGGAATGGCATATATCGTTTAGCTTATACTTCATCGTGATGTTGATTTTCATGATAATATTATTCGTTTTTATGGCATTACATCATCCGATAAAGGTACGATAAATACATTTCACTTGCAAGACTAATTGTAAAGACTAAGAAATTCTTTTTTTTTTGAATTAGAAAATAAAAACGACCAATTGAAAAAATATTTATTAGTGATGGAATATGCTGATGGAGGAACTCTTCAAAACTATTTGAAGGAAAATTTTGATAGACTTGGTTGGGACGATAAGTACAAATTGGCATCTCAATTGGCTCGTGCTGTATCATGTTTGCATGATGAAGAGATCGTACATCGTGATTTGGTAAGGTATAATCAATCATATATATATTTTTACTTTTTTAAAAAAAAAAAGTACTTATTTTAAATACATCATAGCACTCTAAAAACATATTGGTTCATCAAGATAGTATTAAATTGACTGATTTTGGATTATCGAAAAGAGTTGAGGAAGTAACATCTAATCATTTAAATTTTTTTGGTGTGATTCCTTACATCGACCCAAAAAGGTTTAATATACAAACTTATACACTAAATACAAAGAGTGATGTTTATAGTGTTGGTATCCTTTTATGGGAGATATCAAGTGGTTGTCCTCCCTTTTATACTGAAGGTGAAAAATATGATGTTAGTTTAGCTGTGAAAATTTCAGGAGGTCTTAGAGAAACAACTATTCCTGATACTCCTGAAGATTATGTAAAACTTTATAATGGTAAATATTTCATTCAAATTTTAACTAAATTAAATAATCTGTCTTATATTTTTATTTATTGATAACTTTCTAATTTTTTTTTTTAGAATGTTGGGATAGTGAACCAGATAATCGGCCAGCAATGTATCAAGTGGTCGATAAATTAAATGCAATTACTTCAAAAAATGACATGAAAGAAAATGATCAAATGGATCATCATGAATCAAATCTTCAAATATCAAAAATTCCACCTCATTCAAATAATGTTGATTCTTCATCTATTACATCACACGGAGAATTATCCCAACTTATTCTAAATTTTAATCTGATTGATGTAGAAGGATTGAAATCAAATAATGAAATAACAGACATTATTCATGATGATGCAATCATTATGTTAACCATTACAGACACCAATATGAATGATGTATTAAACAATACGTTAGGAGGCTTACAAAGATATCGAAAATTAGAAGTACTCAACTGCGATAATACTAAAATAACTAGTTTACCGACGTTACCCAACACATTAATCAAACTCCTTTGCTTTAGAACTCCCATAACCAGCTTACCAACTCTACCTAATACCTTAACAGAACTCCATTGCGATAATACTAATATAATCAGCTTACCGACTTTACCTAATTCCTTAACACAACTCAATTGCAATAAGTCTAAAATAACTAGTTTACCAACTTTACCAATATCTTTAATAACTCTCAGCTGTTCCGAAACTATAATAACTAGCTTACCAACATTACCTAAATCCTTAGAAATACTCTATTGCGTTAACAGTAAAATAACAAGTTTACCAAACTTACCTAAATCCTTAGATATAATCGAACCTAAATCTTTAAAAATCCAATACTTAAAGTTAAAATTTAGGTAAATTTGTTACTGCTTTTATTTAACTTTTCGACACAAAAATATTTTATCAAATTTTCATTAATATTAAATTTTTTTTTATGAAATTTTAACATAACGATATTGAATCTGCTATTAGAAATAAAATCAAATAGTGTTTATTGGTGATTTTATTTTTGTTTGCTCTTTTAAATGATTTTCTATATCATCTAACGAATGAAAGTGTTTTATTATTTAGAGAATGGATTTCTAGATCAAAAGTGTCAAGCTTTTCCCTTTAATCACTTGGACCTCCTTACATAGATGTAAATATCATATCCTTCAATTCCCGCATTTTTTTTGTATGATGCAATACGATGTATGCTAAGTTAAATTTGTTATATAAGTTATTACAATATTGTGCATATACGGTATGCATTATTAAAATGATGAACTAAAAAAAAAATAAAATAAAAAACTTTCAATCGCAGCTTCACAATTATTCCATATAGCTCGTAATTTTGAAGAAATTACATTTTAAGACTATAAATGGAGTCATTATACTCTCATATTAAATCGTCATCAGTCGGCTGTAAAAAAAAACTAAAATTCAAGCTCTAATGTTTGATGTTTTGAGACAGAATAATGTAAACAGTAAACCTAAAAAATTGGCGAAAAGTTCCAGCAGTGACAAATTTTATGATCAACTATGTTTGGTCTTATTATCGCATCCGATGAATTACTTCTTGATGAATTAGTTATATATTAGTTTTAAAATTGAGGAAATAGAGATTTTCAGAATTTATAAAGAACGATTATTTTATGACATATTTTTTTTCGCTATTTACTTTCAGATATTATATAAGCAGAATTTTACAATTTGTCTTTTTAATGCTTGTAATAATACGCCATATGTCATGTAACATATTTATTGTAATTATGGTATCTTAACGGAGTATGAAAAGATTATGTGGCTTCTACGGCATGCGAACAAATTATATTGTTAATAAGTCAATGCGTTTTATTTTCATTTCATTTCAAAATTTAAACTTTCAATGAATACTTTCTATAAGGTTCACATTCGCAATAATAAATATATCATTCAATCCTTGAAAAGTCCGATAATTCCCTAAACACGAAAACATCGTTATCCATTATTTCCTTTTTACAATTTTATTATAATAACTCCGAAAGCTATAATTAATAAACATACCTGATTGTTTATTATTAATTAAATTAGTAAAACAATAAACACGATACCTTCTTCTTACCTTAAAACTCCGTTTATAACCCATAAACACCAAAGAACTGCTATTAACAATTTTAATGATTTCAGGAAACCGTATTTTTCGGTAAAACGTGATCAAGAGGACGGGATTTCATCATTTCGGAAAAATATTATATTCGGGAAATAGTAAATTCGAAAATCTGATGTTCGGATATACATATATCATTTCGAGATTTCGAGTTTCGGTATTTAATATGGATCCCTAATAGATAGAATTTTGTAAAGTGATGTCTATTTTTTTTTATAAGATTTTGTTATATTAAAATAAAAGATGCGACTGCAAAGATTTGTATCAGAGTTAATTACATATTGCGTTGCGTATGTGATTATCCTATTATATCAATTTTAATAACCGATGATTTTTTTGTGAATTCGAATTTGATTGGGTTTTCGAAATTTATTTTATTCTATAAACGGATATTCCAAATATTCGATCATATCAAGTTTGGAGGTTATGGTGGTTAATTCATTAGACAAAGAACATTTTAACCGTTTAAGGATTTTTAGCCGGCACTATAAATATGGGCAGAGTTAGCGAAATTTTCTGTAATTGAAAAATCTTTAATGTTGGCCAAAAAAGATTCAAATTTAGGCTGGAGTTAAAATTAACTACATCACTGACAAAAAAGATAAGGCACGTGATTTTTGGATATATTTTAAACGAGTGACATAGGATTTCTCACCGAAAAACCTTGTTATTTTGATGAAATACAAATTATGTGCTAACCAAATTCGCATTAGATTATAAAATTTTGTTTATTAAACTGTCAACGTTGAATCTATCTATACAAACATTCCGAAAATTTACAAAAATAAGAAAATAAATCTAGGCATTTAAATTTTGTCATATCTAGATATATCACAATCTACAACTGTTTTTTCAATTTCTTTTTTTTCCAATTCTGCGCTTTCACATTCTTCATTTTCTAGTTCTTCAATTCTTACACTTTCTTCAGAATTGTTAATATTACTAAGTACCGAAATTACTTGTTTAATATCTGGTCTTTCATCTGGTTTATTATGCCAACATTCTATTTAAATAAACGATAAATGATTAACGTTAAGATTAGATTTATAATAAAATTTAACGAAAAAACAAATTATACTTACTTTGATAAAGTCTAACAAATTCACGATTTGTGGTTGGAATAGGTAACTCTCTTACACCTTTAAGAATTTCAATCTGGATAGAAGTATCGCCTGTTTTTTCAAAATTGAAAGGTGATGAACAACTTGTTAATTCCCAGAACAATACTCCCAAGCTGTATATGTCTGATTTTTCGGTTAAATCATACGATTGATTTTCCAAAAATTTAGGGTCCATATAAGGGATTACACCACGTGAAGCTTTGGTATAGAAACCTGATCCTTGTAGGCACGAACACCCAAAGTCTGCTAATTTTATCACACCTTGATGAATTAAGATATTATTGTGATGCTTTAATAAAAAAAAATCGTATTAATATATAATTAAATCAAATTATAAATAATAATAATTAATTGATTAAACATACAAGGTCTCGATGAATAATTTTATTATCATGCAAGCATGATATAGCACTTGCAATATCGTGAGCAAATTTCAATTGACTTTCCCAGTTACGTTTGAAAGTATCAGCATTGTCTCTTAAATATCTTCCTAGTGTTCCACCATTTGCATATTCAAGAATGAGCGAATAATTTATTTCATCTAAAAAATTAAATAAAATTATGAAATATATTTACTTAAAATAAATCAAATGTGCAATTATTGTTTTACCTTCAAATTTCATGACTCCAATAAATCTAATTATATTTGGATGATAATCAACTACTTTCATTAAACGAATCTAACAATATCAATTTATTCTTAATAACAATATCAAAAGTATCTACAAAAAAAAACTACAAATAATAAACAACAAACCTCGTTTAGAATGATTTCTTCCTTACAACCTTCGACGAATTTTTTAATAGCAAATTTTGTTTGTGTTCCTTTCAAGCATGCATCATGAACCGAAGAAAATGCTCCAAATCCAATTATAGAATGTATATCAAAGGTTTGTAAGTCAAAATCACGTGTGTCAAAATCTAGCTGTTATAGAAAGTTTGAACGAATGATCAATTTGTGGCATTGTATTTTCAGATCGGCATACATAATTGTTATAAAGGTAAATTAAACTGTATTTAAAGTTTTGCCGATCGGAAAAAAAAAACCATTTTTAATGGATGGATCATCATCTTGCTTTTTGATACAAACAAATTATAAACGATAATTTTTTTTTGATGTTAAAATTAAAATTTTCTTTAAAAAAAAAAAAAAAAAAAAAAAAAAAAAAAAAAAACTTTATTTGGTCACCTCCTTATTTTGTTAAGCTCTAAAATAAATATTTTATTTTAAGCAACATGGATTAACTAGTTTAACCCACAAGTTGTTGATTGAACTTTTAACAGTTTAATTAGATACGTGAAAGAGATGAATATTGCCAAACCGTTAACAAAAAATTTATTTGTGGGTTTTTATATAAATTTCGATATGCAATGCAATGCAAATTTTATTTGCCGAAAAATTATTATTTGACAATAACATTTAGTTAACCCACAAATTTTGTAGGTTTTTTTCGATATGAAGGCGTAAAATTGCATGCATGTCTGAAAATGCAAATAAATGTAAAATAAAGCTGTCGTGAACTGTTTCACCAATCATTTTTTGTTGATATTTTTTTTATTTTGAAGTCCAAATTTGAATCAAAATGGTCATTTCCGCTATTTTTAACTTATTTTTGATTTCCTAGTTAACGTTAATGCTCAATTTTGAAAATGTTTTATAAGTTAAAAAATTAATTTACTTTCATTAAAAGGGATATATATTTTTAAAAAAACAATTTGATGTCGTAAATTCTTTTAGTTTTGTCTTTATAATTTAAAAAAGTTACACAGTATTTATTTCCATCCCGATAACGAATTTTTTAACACTACACTAAATTTGAAAGTTTCGATTAGTCATTAACTCATTTTTTATTTTTCCAGCAGTTTCCCCTCTTTCTATTGCAAAGATCGATTTGATAAGCCATTAATATTTAGCAAGTGTTACATTTTTCATGTTACAATTTTTATTTGTACGACTAAAAGTCTTTCTCAATAAAATTTTTGATTGACAACACGAATTACAGGATATATTCGCTTTTCGTTGTAGTATGTTCAAAGAGTAAAAATAAAAGTGAAGAATTATGAGGGTTATGGATTGGAATCGTTTTCAAAATAAATTGAAAATCGATTGCAAAATCGGAGAATGTTTCCAGTTTAGAAATTCAACACAAAACGATAATCGCACTTTTTTGAAAAAATATTTACATTTGTCAAAATCATAAAAAAATGGGTGGCCTATAATTAAGATAAATATTTCCTGTTCTACAATATAATGACGCTAAAACGTTCTAATATTCCAACTGGATTGCATGTCTTTACATGTTTTACTTGTTTGAGGTTTCAATGTATCTCTTATGAGTCTTCAGTGTCCAATGGCTCTTCTATTTTTCCTTTGCGAAGATAACCTCTTTCGGTTATAAAATTATTCAGATTTACTGACTTTTTTCTTCTTTTTTTTTATATTCTGAAGAATTAATCAGATTGAAAGCGAGAGGGATCCACAAATATTAATTCTTCAATTATCAAATTTTGGTTCAAAAAGAATCAACTACGACGTTGGTTCAATCCAAATATAATCTATTTATTTTTCATGCGTAATATTTATTTAATGAACCCTTCAATAAGAAGTTTATTATCAAGTAAATTCGTGTTTCAATACCTTTTTTCGTTTTAGGATTAGAGAGAGATGCAAGCTCAGTAACTTTAAATGTATGTATGTCAATAAGATTCTTCTATCTTTACCAGTCATACGTCACGGCATGGATACCTACCTATATTGAGGAAACGATTTGTATACACCCCTTATCGACAAATATTACCAAATCATTTAATTCTCATTAAACTGCGAAAATTTCAACCAGCTAAAAGTATTTATAACGTAATAACATTTGATGTGGTAAAAGGCTCAATATTGAGAAATTCTAAATTCAAGCACATGTGGATATTAAACTTTATTTGACATTTGGTGATTAAAGATTATAAACCACAAAAAATTGGGTGAATAAGTATTATGGCATTGCTGTAACCAACCAAATGTTGATTTGTCTTCGCTAAGGAAAATAGCAAGTGGCTATTCAATATATCAAGAGAGTTTGGTAGTCACAAACAATTCACACATATGCGTCCTCAGTTCTCCAAACAAGAGAAAGATGCAAGGCCATTCAACCTGGAAGAAGTACCCTCGACAAATGGACATTTTACATCGCTGTTAGATTGCTGAATAAGGAAATACTGTACTTACTTTATAATATTGAAATGAAAAAGCCGACAAAATGAAACAAGCCATGGCGCTTAGTGGAGAAAAAATCATTTTTTTATTTGAAGGAATATTAAAGATATTTTATTTTTATTATTATTATCATAATTATGTGAGAAAGTATAAGCGGTTCAAATCATGAAGTGTAGAATATTTCACGTGAAATGTGTTTACTGAATTGCTAAGGAGTTAACGTTAATTCATGGATACTACTATCTCCGCGCCTTAATATACCCTTATATACGAAACCTTTTACAAATTGTTGTTTATTTGCACAATATAAAAAATAGTTAATTGTTGCTATCACCAAGAGTTTCGAGGAGTTTCTTTCCAATAAATAACTAACTAAAGCCTTATGCCAACAAATGTTTGATTCGGAATGATAAGAGGTTTATTTTTTCTTTATTTATTCTATGTTTCGGTTCTCGTAACATCAGAATTCGAAAATGTGAAAATTTTACATGTAAATGCCAAATACAACATATAAACTCTAATCAATAATCATACTTTGGTGTGTTTCATATTACCCACGACCCATCCTTTTTTTTTTTTTTTTTTTTTTGACTTTAATTACTTCTTTTCACACAATTTTCAATCAAAATAACCATTATTCATTTAACCATAAAACATAAAAATTTCATTTTATTTGATGAAGAAGGTACTCACTCCTTTAGATGAACATGTAACAATCGAAAATTTTTTTACAACATTTGCCATTGATGGATACACCTGAACCGGAGTTGTGGGATTATGGTTTGAAGTATATTTCGGGAGAACAAAATTTGGTAATAAAGAAAAGGTGGTGTGGTGTAAATACAAATAAGAAAAGGCGTAGTAAAACATTATTTGGTCCAAATAGTCGAAAAAAGCAAAGAAATGTATGAAAAATCATCCATTCATTAATCATTTAGCCTTTAATAATTAGTTCCAAACACAGTTTAGTTAGCATGAATTTTATAATTATACAGCTATTATCCATTTTTATTATTTGATCACGTGAAATAAATTTGTTACTATAAAAAATCATTTCCCAATTTTTCAAAAATGTGACCCGGGGTATAGTTGCCTGACGAAACTCGTGGGTTTTTACAGACCGTCGAATGTCGAAAGTGTCAAAACCTTAATAAAACCATATAAATTAACCTGTCGAAACCCGTCGAAACCTGCCAAGCTATATCAAACTGTTGAAACTATATTATGGACTTATTAAAAACTTGTCGAAACTAGAGGTTTAGACGAATCCAAAATAGGTTTCGTCAGCAACTATAACCCGGGGGTTACAACATCGACCTAACAGTTAATTTTTTATTTTTTTTTATACATAGGTTAAACTTTTTTGATTATAAACTTTATGGTTTTTTTTTTAGTCTAATTAACAGCAAAAGAATAAATGAATTGATAGTTGAGCTGTTATAAAATTTGGTAATTCTGTGACCAAAAAAAGTATCGGCGTTACTAAAACTCACCCTCGTGAAAAATAACCCTCGCCCGGTGAATTTTTCATGATCAAAACATTGGTTATTTTTATTTTTAGGCCTTTTTAAAAAATATGTATCATTTTACATTAAATAAATTAATTAATAAATTAGCTTTATATATGTCTTATTATTTCAATATCAAAAATTTACATATTAAAATCAATGGAAAGGAATTAGTAAAAAAAGCCATTTTTCATAAGACTATATACAGTATATATCATTATTTAACAATTATATATAATATTGTCATATATGAAAATAAATTATAAAAATTGGTGTGAAAAGAGGTTAGCAGAGATGAAAGAAAAGCGGAAACAGGAATAAGAAGAAAGAAAGAAGACAGAGAAAATTGGAAAGTATTTTTTTTTTCCTCAAAATCTTATTGCCAATAAACCGACCCTAATAAACGAATCCGTCAAAATATAAGATTTCGCATTTTGCCATTTTTTAATGAGTTTTAACGCCAACTATAGCAAGAACTTTTATTAAACGTGATTTAATTCAGAAATGATTATTCATGATTCATCTTGATTTTTTACTTTCCATACAAGAAAGTAAGCCTGTGCCAAAAACCGTGCCATTGATCTCCTTAACGTTCTTTTTGTGGTGTAAATTGTTAACATACAAATAATGTATGTTTCATTAATAAGAATATTGACCAATCTATAATAGCATTAGCAAATAAATTTTCCGTATTGACTATTGTACAAGGTGGAACGTCAGGAAGTGAATCATTTAAATTATATCCGCTAATACATCTAGTGAACCTTTTCCCTTTATTACAATAGTGAATTACTTCTTTTCTTGGCAAGTATCTTCGAACTCGGATGGCTTAAATCAGAATTCTTCTGGAGTTGGGACAAATTGTAAAATTTGATTGGATTTCTGAGTGGCTTAGATTGTAATGCGGTTTTGTTTTGAAAGCTATAAATGAATAGCAACTTTTCATATGTTTGATTAGGATATTTTATATGGGAATGATGGAAAAATAAAGTTAGATTTTGAACAGGTACGATTATATAAGGAATACATATTTCGAGTTTACTATTGAATTTTTAATTAAATTAATCATAATTACTAGTAGTTAGTAAATAATTTTTGTTTTTCTAGTTTATTCTTTCAAAGAAATTTTGAACTAATTAATAAATTATCTATTTGAGGAAAAGGTAATATGGATTGAGCAAAATCGTAAAGAATCGATGAAATTAGTGTTATTAAAGTTATTATTATTATTTAATATAATTCAGCATCCATTCAATGAATATTGAATTTTTTTAAAAAAAATAAATAAATAAATAATAGCGAAATGTTACGTCACTGGTTCAACGTCTATAGAACTTCGCGAGGAGATGTTTGTGGAAGTAAGAGCGGTGCTTGATTAGTGTTCGCATTATCATTAAGTGATATTGAAGATTGATTTAGAGGTTGTAATTGTACAGGATGATGCTGATACATCTGAAATATAATTCCTGACAGCTGTTTCGGTTGATTTAGCATTTATTTCATCTGTAGTAATATTTCCACTTTCACCAATTCTTTCCATATGTTTCTTTTCAGGGGGCATTTGAAGTATCGTTACATTTGGATATTGAGGCCTTGCTTCCTCTGGATTTAAAGAATTAATTCTAGGGGAGGTCGTTTGAACTTGTCTAAGATCCTGATTAGGATAACTATCACCTGAATTAATTATTCCAACTAAGATGAATAGACGGCGGAATTAAAGCTTCATCATCAACGTCAATATCATCATCACAAGTTTCCAATCCAAAATTTCTTTAAATCAACATCATAATTACGTAATCTAAATCCAGAAAGATAATGACGATTTAAGGTTTGTTCAACAAACCAAAGTTTATGATTGATTCTAGCATCAATTCTTTATTTAAACTCTTTGACCCTGAAATTGGTTGAGACGGTGTTGGAGAGTATTCTTGTTGTGTTGGAGTTCATGTAGATGAGAAATAATATAATGAAGGTGTACGCGCATTATCATTATTAGGAGGATGTGATGATGAAATCGTTTTTCCGGTTATTGTACTCGGTGATGCAACAAGTGAGTTTGATGCTCTGTCTCTTTGATCTTCATAAGAAATAGACCAAATTAATAAGTTTTACAGAGCATAATGAAAAAATTGTATTTTATTTTATTCTCTACAATTTATTGAAGATAAAGTCAACACAATTTTTTTCAAAATTAAGTCAAATTAATATTGATATTATGATATTACCATCGAAGTTGGAACAATCCAAATGTGAAAATATTTCGTCTCATGATTATTTTATGTATTTTATGTTATCGTTCTCCATTTTTGCGAAGACCCTAACCTGGCTTCCAATAAGGAAAGTAACGGCAACGTATTAACCCATATTAATTACCAAACATTTCGCCAGAAATTATTGCAGTAAGTTAGCTATGTTATATTCTTTTTATTTTGTTCATTTATAATGACCTTAACTTTTTTTATAAAATAGATACATTTATGGTGGAATTATTTCATTAAATGAAGACATTTCAGAAACTTTAAAGGTATTGTCTGCTGATGAGCTTCATCTTCATGAACTGTTGAATATTTACAAAAATAATTAATTGAAAATAAAGCAGGATTGATGGAAAAACACTCATAAAATAAGCTTTCAATCTAATTCTTCAACAAGTTTGTACAGATTTTATAGCTAAATGCCCTGATAAAAATTTTAATTCACTTGATTTTGCTTCGCTTCCTGAAAAATCCTTGATTTTACATATTAAAAGTGACGACTTACAGTTGAAGGAAGTTGAAGTAATTAAATGGAGGCATGAAAAAACCCCACTCTCGTTCCAGATCCTTTAACTAGGTCCGATGATGATTTCAAAATAATGGAAATACTTTACAAAACAGTTTACCCTTAATTAAATTTTTTTAGTTTTTCTTCTGATGAATCATCCTAATTTTCAACAACTAACAACTAATTTTCATTCCTTATTCTGTTTCATTATTCAATTTAATGCTACCTAACTGTGGTAGTAAAACTGAAACGTCATCGTTAATTTTCTAAGGAAAATTTTTACAAGTGAAAAATAATTTTAGAAAAATACATAGATAGGAAATGTTAACTTCGTACTATCATTAAGAATCTATTGTTTAAACTATTATTCATGAAATAATTAAGAATTAGTAATTATAAAAGTAAGACTTTTAGCCTTCTTCTACTGGTCTTTTACTTTTTGTAAGCTTCAATTTTGCTCTTATAAGATGTATCATGTAATAAATTATTCTAGTAAGAATAAAAAGAAATACTCTATTACAATTTAAAAAAGTCATGATGATTATAATTAAATAACAGAATTAATATATATTTATTATATATTAACTTTATATTATATTTATTTAACCATCAAAATGTATATGGATGTTTATTTTAATAATTTCAATAAAAAAAATTTTAGCTTTAGGAAAAGATCCGATATTTAATTCATGTTAATAAGATCCTATTATTTTTAATATTTTGATTTTAACGTAAAATTTAATAATATTAAATGATGTTATTTTTAAACATTACGTGACGTGATAAACGAATTATTAAGTTTCATTATTCAAAATTTGAAATACTTCATAATCAACCACTTTAAATATTTCATCAGTATCTCTTATCCTCTTCTCATAATTAGTTAGATTACAAAAACATTTTCCAGATAAATAAAGATCCTTACCAAATGAGGGACCATTATTTAATATAGCATGATCCATATTTTTTACCTTGCTTAAAATTGAATCCTTAAAACTATCTTTATTCTTAAAAGAGAATATAAAGCTGTCTTTAGTTTCTCCATATTCATTTCCTAGGCCATTGGGTTTCTTCCATACTATAGGATTATATCCTCCAAGAATTTCTTTCGTTTCTTTTACTCTAATAAATGTAATAGTGTGAGGCTTATTATCACATAATTCATGAAACTTTGCAACGGAACATCCGTCTCTACTTCCTCTTGTTAATAATTTAAATTTATATGGCAAATACAATTCTCTTACATAAGCAAAATTGCTTTTAAGTTCCACCTTATCAATCCATCTTGAAATTATGGAAACAATATTTAAATTGACAATTTTTGAATCAATAATTCCATCAACTTTTTTACATCTAGGGAATAAAATATTATCGCTTGGTTCACTATCAAAAACCAAATAAGAATTTATTAAATCCTCATAGAGTTGAGGTTTTAATAGTTTTTTATATGGACGTACGTATTTGGCGAACTCGTCGGAAGATAAGCTAAAAAACCTAATTAATGGTAAACAATGATGTAAAGTATCTTCCATTATTTTGAAATCATCATCGGACCATGTTATAGGTTCTGAAACGAGCGTATGATTTTTTTCAAGCCCCCATTTTAATACGTGCTTCCAAACTTCAACTTCCTTCATCTGCAAGTCATCTCTTTTAATAAGTGAAATTAATGTTTCTTCAGGAAGAAAAGTAAAATCGAAAGAGTTGAATATTTTTTCAGGCGTATTGGCCATAAAATCTGTACAAAACGCTTGAAGTTTTAGCAAAGAATTAAATTGAAAACTTGTTCTATAAGTGAGTTCAAAATGTTGTTCGACCCATTCAGACTTATTTTCGATTAAATACTTTTGTAAGTATTCAATTAGTTCTTGAAGATGAAGTTCATCAGCAGCCGCCAATATCTTCAAGGTAATTGAAATGTCTAGTTCATCATCATTTATCGAAATAACCCCACCATAAATATACCTATATCATATAAATATGAAGTTCATAGTAAACATAAAATCAAGGAAAAATTAACTGCTAAATATAACTTACTTCAAAATGATTTGAAAAATTTCTGAAGAAATATTTGGTAATTTAATATGAGCTAGAATTTCACCGTTATTTTTCTTATTGGAAGCTAGAGTTCGTCGTAAAAATGGGGAACGGTAACATAAAATAATCATGTGTGCACGAAATATTTTCACATTTGGGTCTTTCCCAACTTCAATTGTAGTATCATAATATTCATCATCCTCTAATATTTCAATATAATTTTGACTTAATTTGGGAAAAAATTGTGAAAGCATTTTATTTGAAAATTGTTGGGAAAGAAATTTATTTTCGAAAATACTCATAATTCTTAATTTGTACTAAACAAATAGATTGGTGTAACAATAATTTGCACATCAAATATTTCATGTGATAATAATTTTTTTGAATTTTGAATTTTGATGGCTCTAACTTTCTTTATCTCATCCATTGGAATACTTCTTTTTCAGATTGTGATGTTAAAGAATATGGCCTGCGATTTTTACTTTTCATTGGTGACATTCTATCGATTTGTTGCTGCCTTTTAAAGTTAAATTTGTTCAGAGAAGATTCTTATATTTAGAAAGTATTTATGTTTACATTGTTATGAAAATACAATTATTGTTTGTCAAAATAACATAGAATTCCATAAATTGTAAGTTAAAAAGAATTTTGACCCGAAATATTAAAATGTATAATAAAAACAAAAAATTAAGAATTTATTTAAAGAAATTCATATTTTAATTCTTAAATAACGCGTATTTTATTGATTCTGAATCAAAAAAAAATTTTTCATTTTTGTAAAATTATTAATTGTGACTTAGGGCTAAGCTGTTACAAAATAAAAGAATATTCGCGCACATACAAAAAAAAGATAATACTTTTAAGCTACATGTAATGTGTGCACATGTTGAGTTAATTCAAGTGATCCAATAACCAAAATGTTGATTCCCCCTATGTATATAATTTTTTATTAATTAAAAATCAATATTGTATGATTATTATTATTTAATATTTCTTTATTTTAGATGTTTGATTTTGTTGTAAGGTATGAAGTTGCTTGGCATTTTCTTTCAGCGCAGCGTTACATTTCAGTTAATCCATTGGAAAAAATGTAATATTTATTTATTCAATGGGAAACTTTTTTATCAAGAATAATAAAGCTCCTGACATTCCGTTTTTGATTCTCTTAATAAAATTTAAACATTATTACATACATACTTATAGATAATTTCTTGGATTTTACAAAAGATAATAATAAAATTTCTGCGAAACACTAATATTTTTATTTTCAATTAAAGAATTTTATATATTGTTTTTTAGTATAACATACATACAATGTTACATATACCATAAAAATATATATACTTTAAAAACTACCCTCAAAAAGACTTCTCATTGACCTGTAAATTAATAATATGCACATTCAATTAAATAACGAAGGAGCTACAAAATAAATAAAATTTTTTTTATCACAAAGTGGAAGAATAGAAGTAAAAATATGTATGAACTTTTCCAGGTTCCCATGCAAACCATGCAAACTCTACTTCAAATGTGATGTATTGTAGTATCAGTTAATTTTTTTTTTAATATTTATTTATTTTCCATCGTTTCGAACTTAATGGATTTGACTTATCAAAGTCTGTTCTACAATCATTATTATTTGATCAAAAAAATTTTTATTTTTACTTTAATTTTTTTTTATTATTATTCATTGTTTGTTTCAAAATTGATCAACTTTTATATCAAGTATTCTGAAATGGTGGTATTTTTAACTTCTAAATTTTATTTAACACCTGAATATTCAATAGCGTTAGCTTAGAATTTCTGTGATTTCAATAAATTCCTCGTATTATTTTAATGTACGCCAATTTACAAGAATAAATTCCGTTTACTTCTTCTTGTACAAGTTGAATAAACTTCACGTATTAAAAATTACTAAATCTAAATTTGGAAATATTTATAATTTTTTTTGCCAAAAATAAACTGTCGGAAATAACTCTTGTTCAAAAAAAAAAAAAAAAAAAAAAATGATGTGAGAATATTTATTATTCTCTCTCCAAATCTGCACGATTTGAATTCAAGATCAACAAAGAACTTGTTATGTTTTTCAACTATAAAATGTTCATTGGATGAAATTCTTAAAACAACGATGTTCAAAAAATTGTTTCTGCAATGATTTACATAAAAACAACGAGATTATATAAATAGAGTTAATATTGGGAATTAACAAATTATAATTAATAACCTTTTAAATCAAATAAAACAATAGGACGGGACTGTTGGATCACATAATACCTAGATATGAAGGCACGACTCATATAATAACCTTTTGATTTTTGATTTTTCAAAGGAGTTTCGGAAACTGAAAGTTCAATATTTCGGGATTTGTAAAAATAGATTCGCCCGAAACATTAATTTTTAATATTTATATGATCTAAATTTTTCCTAACAACGAATATGACCTAATTCTTTCTTTTGTCTGTGACCAATTAAATTAAGTTACTTTGTTCTGTTTTGTGAACAATTTTCATTGTTTATATGAAATTAATATTTAAAAAATGTTATCACAAAATTGCATTTATTACGAATCGGGGTGATTTATGTAATTTGAAAATCTGTAAACCTAAATAGAAATGCGCGTGCTTAATTCAACCCATGATCTTTATAAATTCAATAAATTTAAACGAAATTATTTTTTTTCCCTTACTTTTAACCTATCCCTAAAATAAAATAAAAATAAAAATTCATCATTGAATTTCCACTTTCCTTAATTGTCTTATCCATTGGATCTTATCCAACGAACGAACGAGTGCCAGCAATAGTAAAGAAAATAGATCTGCTATTTTAAGTTAGCAAAATGTTAATGAAATTTAAAGTTTCTAGAGAATGTCTGCTGAAAAGTATTTTCATTGTTATATGCACGAGCATCATAATTGGGGTTTCTATTAACAAAATAATAATAGTTTTTGGAATAATCCATGACAAAGATATAGACCCATTAATTTCCATGCAAATCGAGGATTTATCCACGGATGGGTTTCCAGCTTGGTCATCATTCGTGTGCTCACCGAATATAACAAAATTAGAAGCAGAAACTTTAAAAAGAGGCAAATCAAATGGTAAAACAAAAGAAAAAGATAAAGCGACACCTTTGCCTCCAGAACATATCACTCAAACTTCAACAAATGACTTAGCATCTGGTGATTGGACCGAAAAACAAGAGGTTTGGCCTTGTTTTATATTTAATCCAAAAAACATTCGGTTCATTCCTGGTGAAGTGGATCAAATAATTTTAATAGCTTATGATGATAAAGAACTTGTTAAGACAAGTCCAAACGGTTTATTATTTGGTATATTTGATGAAGAAAGAAATATGTCTAGTATTCAACCTTTTATTGGTCCAATACCTTCTGTAAACACTTTTACTTTCACAAGAAGTGTAAGACATAATTTATATGATGGCTTCCATTCTTCTTTCTTTGTTAACATGCAAAATATTGTTAAACAAGATGAACCTTTTGGTCAAAAAAACATTTTAGCAAGATTTCTATATTCTCCAGATACTTATTTAGTAAGTTATTCAAAACATTTTATTTTTAATTTATTTTATAAGTCACTGACTTTTTATTTCACATGTATAGACAACGACTTATACGGAGAAGAGGCCATATACTCTATACGGTAACTACTTTTCATTGGACTAACGTATTTAACTCGCCATTTTTAATTTTCATATTGAATAAATTAAACTAATTTTTATCTAGACCTAGTCTCCTCCGTTGGTGGTCTTACGACATTTACTATGGCGCTCTGGTATTTTTTGTTTGGGTAATACAATGTTTAGATTAATAATACAAAGTTTATAAACATTATGAATGATGCTAATATTCTATATTAAATATGAATTATTTAGGAGGGGCAAGTATTGTTCATGGGGAATAGTCCAGCGATATTTGCTACATACTTCACCAGATGCGAAGAAAAGAGATAATAATCATTTATTACCTATTTCTTACGACGATACAAAATTCATGGAAAGTCAAATGAGCAGCAACACACTTGTTGGTTCACCGTGTACAATAACCGGAAAACCGATTTCATCATCACCAACTCCTATAAATGGTAATACGCATACACCTTCATTATATTATTTCCCATCTACAGGAACTCCAGCACTTTCTCATCCGATTTCAGGGTCAAAGAGTCTAAGTAAAAGAATTGATGCTAGAATCAATCAGAAACTTTGGTTTGTTGAACAAACCTTAAGTCGTCATTATCTTTCTGGATTTAGATTACGTAGATATGATGAGGATTTAAAAAAATTTGGAATGGAAACGTATGTTGATGATGATTATGATTATGATGATGATGAAGCTTTATTTCCGCCAACTATTCATCTTAATTGGAATAATTTCAATTCAGGTGCCCGTTCTCCCGATCAGAATAGTCTTAGACAAGTTCAATCGTCCTTCCCTAGAATCAGTTCTTTAAATCCAGAGGAACTTGGACCAAAAGTATCTATACGTCAAGTGCCTCTTGAAAAGAATTCTATGGGAAGAAATGAAATAAATAATGAACCAACTGATATAGCTGATGGATATTTTATTTCAAAAGAATCAACATCAACACCATCAACATCTCACTTACCTAATATTCCTGCGCAATCACTATCCCGTAAAACAATCTCTATTATCACAAAGTAACCTACACTAATCAAACATCGCTATTACTATTACTTTCATTAGTTAGAAGATTGGTATTATAAAATTCACAATGAATTTTTTTTAAAAAAAATTTATACTTATGGATTTAATTTGTAATTAATTTATGGGAACATTATAATGTAATCAACGCTTCCATATAGTTATATACTTCTTATTATTTTGGGAAGAATTCTAAATTTATCGACTTCAAAAGTCTACAATCATTCATATCTATTTTAGTTGTATTTGTTTTCCTAATATTGAATTTTTTTTACATAATAAAAGTTAATTTCGTATGTAAATTTTTTGTCAAATATGATTAATATATTCAAAAAAATATGACAAATCGAGAAAAAATTATAATTTTTATTAATCAACTTCGGAATAAAGTATCCACCGGATTTTTCATGGGTAATCCGAAAATTATACTATCTGATAATTACTTTATAATGAAAATATCGATATGAATACATAATCTTAAAGAATAGTTTTGATTGATATTTTAAAGATTATACAGTTAATACAAATTAAATAATACTATTAAAATAATTTAGGATTAATAAAAATATTAATGTTATTTATATTCATATAAGTATATTTCTATCTTAAATTATATCAAGGTTAGATAATATACATAATAAAAATATAAAATTGTAAAAAAGCAATAAAAATTTAAATTTAAAAATTCATCATAAAAATATGATTAGCTATATAAACAATACCAACTTGATAAACTTATTAATAAAATTATCTACATTTCTATTATAAATTCATATTTGCAATATGTTTTCTACATTATTACTTTTTAACAAACATTTAATTATTAACTTATTTAAGTATTTTTTAAAAATATTATTTTATAAAAAATAATTTATATATAATAAAAAGGTTGGAATTTAAATTATTAATAAAAAATGTAATTGAAAGAAATCTTTATTAAATTTTCTTTATCTATTATACAGATCATTATATGGGAGATTTGCTAGAAAAATGGGGCTTTAAGTATTTTTATTGAAATTTTAATTTTTATTGCATGATAATGTTAGATTAAATGCAATAAAAATTAAAATTTTAATAAAAAATGCTTTGAGTCCCATTTTTCTAGTTAACCTTACATATATCAAATAATGTTTTATTCAATTTAATAAATATATAACTAAATATTTAATCTGTATTAATAAATATGTATAGGTTATAATCTACAAAAATAAGGTTTTAAGAATTTTTAAATTTAATCTAATTGAATAAAACTTAAAATACAATAAAATTCTATAAATTAAAAAATTTAGAATCTCATTTTTTAGATAAATTTATACATTGTTAATCTTATGCTTAACTATTAAACTTAAAGTAATATTGACTTGATAATAAGAAGTAATGTGTATATTTAATTATAATTATTATGAAATAAGTCCTATTATAATCAACTTTTAAGTTTATTACTTAGTAATTATTTTATATAAATTTAACTTTGTAATTTATAGCAAAATTATAAATACTTTTAGATATGTTAAAGCAAAATATAGATTATTTTGTAAAAAAAGATTTCTTTTTCATTGTAAATTTATATACTAAAGTTCCTTAACTCTTAATTCTAAATCTTGAATTCATACTCTTGAGTTATTTTTTACAAAAGCAAATTTTTTATTTTATTTATACAAAATTACAATTATAAGAAAACTATATCTAATACTAATAATAAATAAATAAAATCGATAATATAAATAATAAAAATAAAATATAAAATAAATAAATAAAATAAAAATTATATATATGTTAAAGAAGTTAAAAATATTAAATAAATTGAAAAAGTTAACAATACTAAATTTATAAATCATTAAAGTGCAGTAAATTTAATAAAATTCAGTATTAATATGTAACTTAAATTATATTACTAATATCAAAAGTTAAAAATATAAATACTTTATACTTTTACTTTTATATATATTATATATATTATTATTATTTATACAGATTAGAGTGATTAGAGTAAATATAATTATACTTATTACATTATATAAGATTAATTATTATAATATAAAATACTTTAAATTTCATATATAATCATAACTAAAAGTCAATTAAAATCAGTTACCTATTAAGTTGATTTGAAAAATTTAGATCAAATTAATCTAATATTAAATTGAATCAAATTTTTAAATAATAATTATATTAAATTTAAAAAATAATTTATAAATATACAAAGGATTAATATTTATTATATCAATTTGTATAAATTTTAAAAAATATTCTTATTTTTAATCAGATATAAATTAATCAATAAATATTAATTCTGAATAATTTATAGAGATGATAAGCTTTATTTGATTTTTTTATAATATTAAAATTATTATTTGTAAAATATAGTAATATAAAAATAATAACTGTGTATGTATATAAAATTCTTCTTAATTTTAATTTTGATAAAATAGTAATATATTATTATATTATAATTGCAACATTTATGTTTTAAAGATTTTTACACATATTCTAAATAGTTATATTTTTTTAATAATAAAAGATCATTATAAAATAATTTTTTAAATAATATATTATTCTTTCAATAGTTTTTTATTCAAATTTAAAGGAATTTTACTAACCAATTAAAAATTATTTTAAATATATTAAAAATTAGTTATCAAACAAATAATATTTTTATAATATTATTTATAATAGATTTAAATAAAATCAAAAAAAAATTTAGTAATATTTTGAATTAATTTAAGATAAGAATGTTTATCTAATCTTTTTTAAAATTTTACAATTAGTTTTAACTAAATTTTAATAAGAGTTTAATATAGTTTTATCATAATTTCTTTAGTACAATATTTATTATAATAGTTTTAGCATTTTGCTATAATATTGACATAAGTAATTATAAGATTTTATTATAATTATAATAAAGTTTCAGCATTTTGACATTTTAGCAAATAAAAAAATCCTCTAGTTTCTCTAATAACCTTAATTTAATATTAAAGATTTGAATATTTTTTTAATAAATAAATGTATTTTCTATATTAAAGCTAAAATTTATATTTTTATATTATTAAACAAACTTTATAAAATATAAATATTTATATTTAAAATATTTATTTATATATTTAAATATTATTTATTTATAAAAACTATAAATTTAAGTTAAAAATATTGTATATATTTAATATGTTAATTATTAAAAATGAAAAATAAAGATTTATAAATTTTTTAATGTATTTTAACTAAATTTAAAAAAAAAATTGTAAGCTTTTATATAGTATTTGCATAATAATTGTTTGAAAATCATAATTAAATTTGAATAAAAATTATTACAATTTAATATTACAAAAAGCAAATCTTATTAAAATTACACATTTATATTTTACTTCTATTATAATTCTTATTTATTTAAAACTGAAATCTTATTTTAAAATTTATAAAATTATTATATAAAAAGCATATTTATAATCTTATAATAATTAATGATAACTTTTTTTATTGAATTTAATTTTTTATTTCCATCTTAATTTAAAATAAAACTTGTAAAAAAATAATAAATTATTTTAACATCTAATTAATATTAAAATCATTATATAATGATAATTCTAAAAATTAATTAAAATTAAATTTTATTAAAGGTTCTGAATTTATAATTAATAATAAATCAATAATATTTAATCTTATAAAATTTAATTCTTACAATTTCTATTTCTTTAAATTTATATTAATGAAATTAATTTAACATATTTATTTAATTAACTTCTTTTATAATTTAACTTAATATAAACTTCCTATTAATAAATATGGTTTATTTACTTAATAATATGTAGAAATTGATTTTAGCCAATCAGAATCCCTGTCGATCAACCAATGAAATTAAACATCATCTATGGGGACCGGTACGTTACGAATTGCTACCGATTTTGCAGATCGGTACGATTCGCGACAATTGTACCGTATTGTACTGGTCCTATAATAATACTACCAGTATTATAATATATTCGTAATAAAATTCTCGCGAAACGTACCGATCTGTCTAATCTATGTTCTTGAAATATCATTGCCTAGAAATAATAAAAATAAATATAATACATTATGTAAAGTTTGCTTGCTAAGTAATCGTGAAAATTGAAAGAATTGTATAATCTATTATTTATATTAATCTATTTTTGTTATTATATAAATAACTTTGCACGGGGAAGAAGTCCCCGAAAACTGTTAATTATTTAATATAGAATTTGTTATTTAAACTTTGGTAATCTATTTCATTTCTAATTGGTTCAAGTGAATTATGTCATCACAAATATTTCATATTATGACGAAAACATATTACGCGAAAATACGTTTCTTTACGCCAAATCAGCAGGGATCCAAAATCGTTCTATATATTGTTTGGAACGCAAATATACAATAGATAATAAAAGCTCAAAAAATAAAATTCCTTTTCTATAAGACGGGAATAATGTCTTTAAGTTCGACTTCCCAATCTTATGGTCAGAATGAGACACTCATTTCTTCAATTCGTAATATTATAAAGGTGTGTCTTCAATACTTTTAAATTTATTGTAATTTAATTTATATATCTTATATTATTCTACAAGGATTACCCCTGCCAAAGTATACTTAAAGAATTCCTTCAAAATGGTAAGTGAAACGTCGAGTTTCTTGAAGATCACTCAATGCTTATTCCTTAATATATATGTATATAATAAAGCCGATGACGCTGGAGCTTCACGGTTTCATGTAATCATCGACGGACGTTCGCACCCCACGAAAGCTTTGCTTTGCGACGAAATGAAGGCCTGGCAAGGCCCCGCCATTTTGATATTCAATAATGCAATGTTCAAGACAACCGACTTTGATTCGCTTATGCAGATACGTGTTGGCGGAAAACAAGGCGATGATACAAAGATTGGGAAACATGGATTAGGTTTTAATTCTTGTTATCACTTTACCGATGTTCCAAGCTTTATCAGCGGTGATTCTATTGCGTTTCTGGATCCTCAAGAAAAATTTTTGCCAAGAAGGCATGGCGTAACCCAACGTGGGATTATTGGACCTTTTCCAAAAAATGGTATTGGTGGGTATTCTGAAAAGGACCAATTGGTTCCTTATGAAGGCATCGAAGGCATCGATTTCCTCTCGACTTTTCAAGGGACACTCTTTCGAATACCGCTTCGGAAACAACCAAGCGATATATCCGACAGTATCTTTACTACGGATCAAATCTTCGAATTGTTCACCAGTCTTAAATCAACTATCTCTTCCCAATTTTTATTTCTTCGAAGCATCGAAACAATTGAAATTTCTCATATACCTAAGGAAAAAGCTCCAAATCAACTGAATCCACTTTATAAAGCAATTATAACTGGATTGACTGAAAATTTAAGAAATCAAAGAAAATGCGTCATGAACAATAAAATTCAAGCTTTTCAAATGGATATCGAACAAATAGAAAATCACAAAATTGTACAAAAGGATTCTTGGATTATTGCTACTGGCGCCCAACCAAATCCTGAAGATTCTCAGCTGAATAAATATTCGGAACGATATCGATTGCGCATATTAGGTGGTATTGCTTCATTACATAAAAGTTCAAAAAACGATAATAACCGGAACGACATTGGATTAGGAGCTAATTTTCCATACTTTAAAATGAAAAGTAAGAGTGATAATACTTTTAATGAATGTCAGAGCGCCATAGGATTAGAAGCTACTTTTGCAAGCCGTGAAACTAAAAGCTGTAAAAAGAAAACTAAGAGTGATAATATTTTTAATGAATGTCAAAGCTTCGTTGGATTAGGAGCTATTTTTGCAAACCATGAAATAAAAAGTTGTAAAAAAATAAATAAGAGTGATTATATTTCTAAAGAATATCAGAGCATCATTGGATTTGAAGCTAGTTTTGCAAACCATGAAAAAAAAAGTAGTAAACAAAAAAGTAAGAGTGATAATATTTTTAACGAATTTCAGAGCGACATTGGATTAGAATCCAATTTTGCAAACCGTGAAAAAAAAAGTTGTCAAAAAAAAAGTTTGAGCGTTAATATTTTTAACGAATACCGGAGCGACTTTATAGGTAGACTATACTCTTTTCTTTCGTTACCCGACACGACAAGTCTGCCGTTTCATCTTAATGGAACCTGGGCTCAAGGCTCAGATCGTGGACGGTTATTAATGGAAAAAGATAATTCGCCAGACATAGATCGGCAGAAACTTAATTGGAATAGACATATTCTGCTTGATTTCCTTCCTAAACTATATTGCAAGCTTATAAAAAAGGCCATCGAATTAAAAGAAAGGGAGAATGGTGAGGGAATTGAGAGCAATGAATATAGAGAAAAAATCCATCCAATCTCCAAGTTCTGGCCGTTTCCGATCCAAAATAATTCAAAATACGTAATTGAATTCGGTTTCAAAGTACTCGAATTTATAATACAAAAAGAAGACTTATTTGCTGGTAGCATTGAGAACCGAGTAAACTCTCTCTTTGAGCTCTTATCAAGTGAACAGATTGTACAGCTCCGTAACTTTCTAAAAATTGCCTGGGCTGAAATAGGTATCTATCTCTTTGAATTTATTTATGTATTACATTATAATTTAACTTAATACTGAAGTGGCTTATTCTTTCTATTTTATGTAGCAACTCCCAATTTCAAGTCTTTGGTCTGCTACTTTCCTATTTGGAAAGTTCTATCGAATCCATTAGATGAAAATTCGAAATCAGTGCCTTTAAAACCAGCGACATGCGGCTATATTTTAGAAAGAAATATCAAACAATATCAAATAAAGACTTCCAACATCTATTTAGATGCTTTGGGACGTCTTAATCGTTTAATTTTAACTGAACTTAATGTTCCTAAGCGAACCATTTATGAGTACACTTTCGAGGATGTCGAATTTCCTAAAGAATATGACAGCTCTTATCTCGATTTTCTAAAAGACATACTTAAAGATAATCGAATTGTTCAAAATTTAAAAGATAGACGCTGTTTTCCCAATTCTATTACAAAGGAATTAAAGAAAATCTCCGACCTATATGATAACAGCAACCTGGTTTTTCGGACCGTGTTTGGCGGAGAATCTAGTGTCTTTCTTCATCCTGAATTTTCTAAGTACATACGGATTCTATCGACAATTGGATTTAAAAATAAAATCAATCTGGAGATATTCAGAATGTGTGCTGATAAAGTCAGTGAATTATTACAAAGTGACCCGGAACCCCATCTGATATACGTTATCGGGGCTTCATCCTGGTAGATTATTTATATAAAAATATAAGCTCTTTAAATTTGGAAAGCATCGAAGGAATTCCATTCATCCCAATTACAAAAAATTTGGGTAACCCTTACAATCTACACTATAAACACCCTCAAGCTTTAGATTGCTTAAATAACGTTATACTTCCCGCATATAGAGAAGTCGCGTGGAGTAAGATGCCCCTGATCGCGGATGATGTAATACCACCTCAACAAGTGCTCGAAAAATATCCGTCATTTGGTAAACCGGGTATTTCTATTGTAATCAGTCATCTCCGTTTCTTGTATTCAGTACTCCGGAATGATAAAGTATGGAAGAAAAATTGGACTGATGTATTTAGAAACAACATCTACGAGGTTTATAAATGGCTAGATGTAGAATGTAGTTCAAATGAAGGTCTCGACTTATCGGAATACATTTGTTCCGAACCATTATTCCTTAATTACAATAGAAATCAAGATCCATTTAATCTTGAAAACTGGGTCACTTCAGCCGATTTGATCTTGAACAGCGAATATGTCCATCCAGATCTTGCTAGATATCCTACCATGCTCAAAAGTGCCGGTGCTCGGGAAATAAGACGACCAAATGTTCAAATTAATGTCAGAAACCACGACCAATCACGTCATAATCAAAGTACTTTGTTTAAATTTCTATTTGATCAGACACCCTCCTTGAATGATGTAAATTTTATTGTGAATGGTCATAATATAAAAGCAAGTCGTTACATTCTCGCTGCAAGCTCTGAAATATTTCGTCAAAAATTTATTTCAGAAGAAACAAGTCCGATTAACCCAGTCACGATCACTATTGGGGATATTGAACCTAATTCGATGCACATCTTATTACGCTATTTGTATGGCCAAAATATTGATGAAGCAATTCAAAATCGATTAAGTTTAAACGATAATGTGGATCTTAGTTTTGAACCGAATACCGATGAATCTCAAGATTTGGTACTATACAAGGACTTACTTAAATTATCAGATGATTACAAGTTAGATCATTTGAAGGAGCTTATTGAATTAAGACTCTCCCGATTAGTTCGCATGTCGAATGTAGATGTAATGAAAAGATTTGCAGAGATTTCGAATGCCAGCCAACTTAATGAATATTGTCAACATTTTAATCGCGAGAATAGCGGCGTTAAGACTTGATGATATAAATTTTATGGACGTTTCAAAAAAAAAAAAATTTGTAAATTTTAGCCATATTTTTTTGTTATCAAAAAAAAAATTTAAATAAAGATCTTACTATGTTATATAAATGAAATTGCTACAATCTAGTAACTTTATGTTACCATGCCATGCATGTAATAAAATTTTGATAGTTGCCGTTAACAAATGAAATGCTATCAGCTAAATAATATCGAGAGGTAAAAATTGTGTCAGATTTAAAAATAATATTTATTTGTGTATTATCGAGGGGTAAGGGGGGGCTAACTCGATGGTTACACAATAAGATTTTGATCAACATGACTGTCCTACCTATAAAATTCTATATGTTATTATATAAAATGACAATGATTAGCGAACAAATACCCTTGTAATTAAAAAAAATTATTAAGTAAATATATAATCTTTTAAAATGTGATATTTGTTAGATCGTTTCTATGGTGT